GGGGAAGGAAGCCGCCCGCCTTGCTGAGCCCTAAGTGCCAGTGCAGCCCTCTGCCTCCGGGATCCATCCCCAGCACCCCTCTGGGGTTCTCCCAAACGCTCAGCTCCTTCCTAAAGAGCTTAAAGAAGCGCTTCAGCGTCCAGGAGCTATTCCCATATCCTTCCCTCTGTCCCTGGGAGCTGGGACACCGCAGCGCTGGGGACAGCACCGCTGAGCATACGCACATGTGCCGGCTATCTCCAATCCAAAGAGCAACCAAGAAGTGAAGTATATTTATCTGCCATTTGCTTTCCATCCCCAGCCTGACAGCCCGTAAGCACACGTTCCCCTCGCTCTGGGACGTGTCAGATGTTGTGACTACAGCCCGCACCAGCTGGCTGACTCGCCCCTCCTCTTCTTCACACAGTAAGAGACGTTTCTTATGTGCGAGAATCCAGGAAGTCTCCTGCAGGGAACACTGTGATTTACAGGGTAATGCCCTGAGCAGGGCATTAGTTATTGGCAGTATTTTCTACCTCTGAGAACAAGCAAAAGCAGCTGCTGTTCAGCAGCTCTTACAGACAGGTATGAGTGGGATCCTCACTCCTTCATCCCCATGGGAATGTCTTCCTGGCCATCAATTACAACCGGTCCACCCTCCTGGGGAGAAGCCACCGCGTTCTGGAGGTGACCAGCAGCTGCCAGTCAACAGTAGTCTCCCAGTATAAGACACCATGTGGAGACAAGCCTTGATTTCAAGGACACCTCAAGGCGTGAAATCTTCCTCAGTTCTCCAACCAGGATCAGGTACCAGAAGGCTGGGAACAGTCAGACTACAGCAGTGCTTCTCAGTATTCTTTCCATCCAAGGACCACCTAAACCCTTTGAAGAACAGCCACAGCCCACCGTCGGCAGCTTTGCCACAACAGCTTTAACTTGCGATCAAATAAACACTCAGCTAAGCTCTGACTGCCTGTTTGTTACCGTCACGTTGTTTGCTTGCAGCCCAGGGAGGCTGCACACATACATATACACGATTCTGGATTTCTGAAACAGTAGCAGGCTCCATATTCAACATCACCCTTTGTCTACAGAACGGGGAGATGACTGAGTTATCACACAGAGACAGCACTTTCCACGGCAGCGAGTATGAAAAAGAGGCTTGAAGACAACTAGAGAAGATAAATACATTTGGCCTGTCATCGTAATGAAGCAGGATCCAGGACAAGCCGTGGGAGGAAGAACTAGACAGTAGCTAAGGGAGTGGGAAGATAAGAATCAGATTTTTTTGAACCGCCAAAGGCAACCTGGTATCAACCTGCATCAGCAATAACAGTTTCTCAGTTCCCCCATCTGTAAGACAGGGTAACACCATTTTCTTACATCACATTAAAACTGTGAGGAGCTCAAATATTACTGCAATGAAAGCTATGTCTCCATGGGATCTGTCTACACAGACACTCTCAGGAAAGGTAATCTGAATTAAAGACAAGGTAGGATTACTTAAAACTTCACAACCACCCTGTTAACGACTTGGGATTAAAGCAGTCACCACACTTTTAAGTGAAAATGGCCCCACACAGGAGGTTTAATGCATGATAATTAATCCCCCTGGAAAAAAAAAAAAAAGTGAATTTGGCTTAACACCCTTTGGGCCACTAGCTCCAGCAGGAGATAGCGATGGACAAACCTGAAACGTGACAAAAGCCAGGAGCTGTTCCGAAGGCTGCCTGGAACTGGAAAAAACACGTCCCGAAGCTTGTAAGATCCCAGCCAAACAAAAAGAGCAATCTTGGAAATGGAAACTAAGGATCAGGCTTTTTTGAGCACTTTGTATGTTGGATTTTGCCTACATGATTCATTCATTAGTAGCCGCAGGGCTACTGGAACAGAACCCAGACTGCCGAGCCTCCGTGTTGTGCCTGAACCACAGGGCTATTCCTGACAGTTGACTCGCTTCCTTCTCCTGTCAGCACCTTGCCAAAATAACAGCAAAGGGGAAGTGGCAGTGGGTCATCTCTCTCTTGTTGATTGCCGTGAGGGAAGAGTAACTCTTTGAATCATCCCATTCTTTCCTTAATTCCAGGTGACTGAATCACTCCTGACTCACAGCTCCCGTGCAACAGCCCTGACTCCCACTGGGGTCAGCAGTGACCCTCCCATCGCGCTCAAGCAGATGCAAGCTGCCGGTGGGGGCCTACAGACAAAATGCTGCCAGTGACACAGGGAGAGACAGACAGGCACTTTCCACGGGCTTGCAAAGGTCATAAGTAAGCATACGTGTTCTTTCATGCTCTACATGCAGGCATGCACACTTGTTAAGGCAAATAAGGGCACACTGGTGTCAGATTATCCGGAGAACTCAGAGCCACCTCTAATGAGGACTGTGTGTTTTAAAGTGCTTGTCACTCAGTGTGACACTGGGCAGAGTTTTACCTCCCAGGAGTTCGGCATCCAGCATGCTGAGCTGCCAACATTTCTGGGCTAGGGGAGCATGAGACAGTTGCACCACTAACGGCAACATCTGAAAGCCAGGAGGGTGCTTTTGTTTAACTGCTGGTGCAAACCAAAAATCAGGTCCACTCTGTTTTGGGAAAAAAGAAATCTTACGATGTTTCAAGTTTCTTGCTTATTAACCAGGCAATTTTCCAAGAAAAATGAATTTGCCTTGGTGGGAAAAAATGAGCAGTTGTAAGTAATTCAGTGTTGGCACGTTCATGTTTGGAAGTTGAAAACAGTGGATTTTGTTGCATTCATGAGAAAGCCAAAGGGGAAGGGCAGAAAGTAACTCAAAACAGAAATGGAAGATGAAAATTAAGAGTGTGAGATATCTCTCATTTAAAAAGAAACCCAGAAAACAAAACCCCAACAGAAACTTTTAACTTATTTTGAGCAAGCAAAAGCTCGCAGTAGTTTTCACTAGGTTTGTACAGCTTTGGTGTGTAAAAGGACAACACATTTCTGCAGGGAAGGACTTAACATTCTTGCACTTTTCTTGCACGTGTCCAGGGACATACATTATCCAATGGACACACCAGCGGATGTGCTTTTATAAGACTGCAAACCAGCACTTCATTAAGGCAAACACAAGCACCCCCTGCTTTGGGGAAAAAGCCACTGTCCCGCTCTCCTAGCCCCTGGCTCTCACACGCATAGGATGGGAGCAAGCAGGGAGGGCAGCTGGAGAACTACAGATGCAGTTGTCTTGACTCTTCCAGGGACACCCCTTTGGAAGTTCAAACGCACATACCTTCTGATTCACGTACCTGCCCGGCTGCTTTCCGACTGATTTAAGAGTGGGTTGATTGATAGCCCAGATGCGAGGGGGCTTCCAAAAATATGTGAGGAAGGGAGGCTAAACGTTGAACCTGCCAGTGAGAACACCTACATGGCAAAACAAGGAGGGAGAAATGACTTCTCAAAAACACAAGAGGAAAATAACTTCATTATTCCATCTCTTCCCAACTCTTGAACCCAGCCTGCTCATGAGAGAGACTGTTAAAAATATCTCCTTGGAAGTCTCACTAGACAGTTGAAATCTTCCCAGCCCCGTTTCAGAGCCAAGAGGTCTGAATGAGCCGTGTTAACACTGAGGCTGTAAAACTAACTCTCTCCTCCCTGTAAAACACCTCTCACAGCGAGCTCCCAACAAAGGACGAGGCTCTGTCTCCTGGCACAGGCACAGCCCACCCAAATGGGACGTGCGAGCCCTCCCACCAAGTTATCCGTGCTGCAGAATGAAGGTAGGGCTGGCACTGGTGGCAGGATCCAGCGGGGACAAGCAGCATGGGACACAGCACACGCCGACAGCTAGGCCTCTGCTGCCTGAGCGTGGTCTGTGTTCCCCTTACAGTCAATGGAAAGCAACGCGTCCTTTTAGGTTGCAATTCCTCCCACCCTGAAACAGGCTGCGTCGGCCGTGACACAGAACTGCTTACATCTTTCTACCGACTCTAAGAGAAGCTGCAGTTGGCAGCTCCCCTCCGAACCGAAGGAAGAGTAGCTGTTCCCAAGTGGAAAAAGCAACTCCTCGGTGCCCACAAACTGACCCTGCTCTGCCAGTGACTGCTCTGTCCAAAGCTCTCCTGAACTACAGTCCCTCTCCCGGGCCTGATGTTCTTACCTGGGTGGTGGAGACCGAGGAGGAGGAAGCAGGGATGGTGCTAGCAAAGGGAGATCGGTTGAGCTGTGGGAGCGACGACGTACCCTGGTGTGCCAGCAGGCTGGAAGAGAGGGGGGTACTGCACACAGCTCGGAGCACTCCACCCCCATGGGAAATAGGGTCCTTGTTACTGGTGTAGATCCCTGCAAGGGGAGGAGATGTGTTAGAGAGCCCCACTCCCCGCTCCCCTCCGATGGCCTGGAAACAGCTGGTTTTCTACAGGGCTTGATCTCAGAAAGGAAGGGTGGTACCCATGCCCAAGACCAAGTGTAACAGCACTTCAGCACCTCATGGCCTGGCATGCAGCATGGGTGGTCACAGCCCACAGTTTTTTTATCAAGAGGTGTCACAAACTTTTCCAGCCTTGCCCCTGCCCCCCTGTTGTTTGCTCCTCGCACCCCGATACAACCCGACAGAGAAATCACAGCATAAAGTGACTCACCGAAGGCACGAGTCAGTGGCAGAAGCGGGTAGTGGATTCGGAGAGTCCCACTCCCTGCTGCCCACACTAGTCAAGAGACCACACTCTTGCTGAGCCTACCTGTCCCCTTCTGCAGTTCCCAGGGACCACGGTGTGGCAGGGACAATAAATGAGGAAGAAAGGGTGAGGAGAGAGCTGCTGCTGAGGGAGGGGACCCGTCTGACTTCCCCTTGGCTCAGGCGTGCGGCAGAGGCAGTGCCCAAAGCCGGGTCCTTCACAGCCCTGCCAACATCTCTCCGCAAGAGAAGAATGGGAGAACAAGCAGGCAGGAGAGTGGGGCCTGGCAGCCACCTCCTCTTTGAAACATCCCTTTGTTGTTCTGGGGGTAGGCAAAAAAATTAGCCTAAGGTTATGATTATGGAAGTTGCATCAATTCTTGCAGCTCCTCTCCTCTCTCAGGCAGTGCAGGCAAATGGGCCAGGGCTCCCAGGCACACACAACAAAATTGTACCTCCCCCCTGCTTGCAGTCTGACCTAAATTGGAGCATCTGCAAACAACCCACAATAGACCGATGACATGTTCTGCTGCCAAAACAGTGTCAAACCTCAGCCCCGAGCAGCAGGCCCCTCCTCTGCCTCCTGCCTTAACCCCTTCCTGCCACACGTCCTGGCTGTCCTCATCCCTGCCAGGCCAAGGAAGGGGACTTAGGCTGGGAACAGCTGTAAGCCTCTCAGCAGAGTTAATGGTGTGCCAGTCTCCCAGCCCTACGTGGATGTGGTAAGACCAGGATGAGAGGTTTTGCTTTTAAAAGAGGGGTTAAACTTGAGCCACTTATGAGAGTCCCTCATTTGGGGTCAGATTGTGGTTGTTCAGGTTTGGCCTGTGAATATCCCTCTCTATTGCTTTGGCAATTAAGCTCTGGCTAGCTGAGGCTTTCCAGCACTTGAACAAAAAGGTTTTGAAATGCCCCCCAGCTCAGATCTGCAGGCCAGCTCCAACGATAGAGAAGCTGACCCGGAGGAAATTCTAGGATGAAGGCCAAGATGGAAAGGGGAGACCCAGATGTGGATTTTTATAGCTCCCGGGACTGAATTAAAGGGACTGGACTCTGTGCAGGCAGGTCCAGACACCAGCCAAATGTGATGAAAAAGACAGGAGGGCTGGGAGGAACCGTGCGCACCTGGAGCCCTAAGGGGGAACATACCTGAACCCAGCAGCGGGGACTCCATGCTGAGGCTGGGCAGATTCCCCGTGTGGCTGAAGGACCGTGAAGAGTTGCCGATGCTGGAGCTAACAAGAGAGCCCCCGGAGAAGGGTGACGAGGAAGTAGATGTGGACCCAGCCAGCTGGGCTCCCAAAATCTCTTTGCTTTTGCCCCCTTTTGGCCTGCCAGGTCCATGCTTGTTCTTCTTGCTACCTTTGTGCTTCTTTTCCTTTAGCACCTCTCCCTCCTCCATGCTGAGGGATGGCATGCGCTTGTGGCTGGGGCTGCTGCTACCACCACTGGTCCCACTGGTCCCCACCGAAGGGCCGCTGACAGGGTTCGAGGCCTTATAGTCCACGGGGGAAGCATCACGGCCTCTCTGCTGGCTCACCGCAGAGGTGGAGAAGCGCATGATGGACCCAAAGCCTGAGAAGATCACCTTCTGCTCAAAGATGTCCCCCTTCTGGCCTTCATACAGAGGGGAGCAGTGGGAAGAAGAAGAGGAAGAGACAGGCTTCCGGTACTTCTCGTCGTCCTGCTCTAGCTTGGGGAATGTCACAAAGTCCTGGGAGCACTGCAAGCTGCTGCAGGAGGTACCTGGTGGAAGCAGAGGGGAAGCAGATATAGAGAGGCTCGTGGTGGCAGTAACTCAGCCCACAAGGCACTAAGAGCAAGGTCACAACACAGGTCCTCCGGCCCAGGCTAGTTACCGAGCTGAAGGCCACCCCTGTCACCTCCCAGCCCATTGCTTTGGTGCTCTCTGGCAAGCACGAGAGGTGCACACCAGCAGCTTCATCCCACCCAAACATGCACGTGTCTGCTCCCCTAGACCCTGCATCACCACTGTCCCTCCATCCCAGGAGATGAAACATGCTCTGTTATGACAACAGCTCGAAAAAGAACTGAGCGAGGTCAGAGCAGATGGGAGCCCTGCAAGGCTTTGACTCAAAGCTCAGGGGAGCCTGGATATCAGGTTTTGGCTCAGGTCTCTCCACTAGTAGTCCTTAAAACACTGCTGCAGACAGTACCACCTAGAGAGGAGAGGGCAGATGCTGCCCGTGTTGCCTGTGCACCGTATCCCTTCCCTCCTCCCTCCACTCAGACAACTGGATCCGTTTTTATTTGCAGTGCAGCCGGCCGGCACGGGAAGGGAGCTGTAGCACTCATCTGACATGGTTCTCCCCCCTCTGCATGGAGTTAGTAGCAATAAGACTTTTCCCTTGCCTTTCAAGGGGTTAAGGAAACAGCCGTCAGCAGTTTCACAGCACTAGCTGGTGAACGGGTATCTTTACGGATACAGAGATATCAAAGGGGAGCAAAGCAAAGCATCACCCCCATTCTCCCCTCTCCTGCTTCTCCTTCACCCCTTACCTGCAGGCTGGAAGGTCCCGCTGGATGAAGCTGAGCTGAAGCCAACCGAGCTTTTCCCGCTTCCCGTCTTTTTTCCCTTGTGGCTGCTGCCATGGCTTGAGGACTTCCTGCCTTTCACCTCCGACCTGCCGACCTCCGAGGTCTCTTTGCTCCCCTCATGGTGGCTGGTAGAGCCCTGGCAGCGGCAAACACAGAGGTGACTCACTCAGGCCAGATGTGGCCACAGCGGGGGCTCTTTCTACCAATTTCCCCTTAAGAGAAGTAATTGCCCCCTCTGCCCACAAAGCACTGGTCAGGTCATGTTACTCAGGAGAGAAAAGCAACATTTCCCTCTATTGCTGCTTGGTGGCACCAGGCTTTATACTCCTAGGGATTACGCTCATCCCATCTAACTGCAGGAAATTAAACAGGGCACTGACAACCAGGGCACAGACATGAGAGATTCCCTGCATCGTCAGCAGAGGGGAGAACCTCAGGGTTATTCAGCCCAAAGAAAATCTGAATTTGGCTGTGACTCAAACATGTATTTCAGCTGCATCTCTCAGGTGTTCTATTCTCAGCAAGGTCATTCCACCTGGGGGAACTCGCTCGTCCTTGTGCTGTGACGGGAGTTTCCCTGGGTTCCCTAAAGCATCCCCTGAAGCAGCTCCACTGCCAGCCCAGGGCTTTCCAAATCTACTGCAGTAAATATTTCACAGTGACATTGTTAGAGCAGCATCTGACCGCGCAGCAACAGATGCTATCCAAACCCCATATAAGCCTGCAGGAGACAGGGAAGCAAGGGGGGTGAAGAGGCTGGCCAGATGCTAGGAAATCCAGGAGCTGGGGATGAGAGAGAGAAGTGTGGGAGTTTAGCAGGGGGAGAGTGGAATGAACCGAAAACCAGATCCCCTGGGGCACCCACGCTAGGATATGAAACCTTCACCTTCAAGTCACTTCAAAGCCAAGTGTTCAAAGATCACTTCTTGCAAGGTATTACTGCAACCAATCAATATTATAGATCCAGTTCTAATGTGACGGCTACAGTCCAAAATATAACACCTGTACGTTACTGCAAACACCTTTTGTTTCTTACTGAGCAGATACAAGGAAGACACAGAGAAGCACAATACCTTTCTTACATTCCACTATCCCTGACTCCACATGACCTCTTCTCGGGGAGAGCTAAAGAAAAAAGGGCTTGTAATGCAGACTCATGAATGCCCAGATAAAAATCTTTCCCCATTCCTCCCACATGGTTTAATCACTCTGCACAATGCAACAGCTGGCAGCCTAACACACACCAGATGTGCCGGGAATATGAAAGACAGGAGGAAGGGAGTGGTGGAAATTAGGGGGGAGAGGAGGGGGAATCTGTATTTTCTCATCACAGACTCCTGGATGTAGGAGATTAAGCCTTCTTGATTTACGAGCTCAGAGGGAGCATGAAAATCTTTCCGACTTTCCACATCTGCCTGGGGAGGGAAAGGAGAGCAGTGTCTGGGGGCTATGGGAAGTCCTGAGACTGCTCACGAAGTCACAGGAACGAGATGGCTCATGTCTCAGCAGAAATGCAAAGCCCTGAATTTTCCTCCCATAAATTCACCTCTTTCGAGCTCCGCACAAGGTGCATGAGGCCACAGAAGGGCAGAGGGAAACCACATGAGAAGACACGTTCTAAATACAGAGTGTCAGGAAGGAGTGCAGGGCAAGTAATGAATTAGTGCAGGGTGGAAGGGGGAAATCTGAGTTGGGAAATAAATCTTAATTGCAAAATTAAAGGGGAAAAAAAAAAAGGGTAAGAGAGGCTGAGCTGGCTCAGCTGAAGGTGATGAATGGACAGACACTCACCTGTAGGGCTGATCTGACCTCCCGGACCTCCCTGAGAGACTCCCAGAGATTTTGGGGGCAGGATTTTCCCACCTCCTGCCAAATACTATCTTAGACGCTGTTTGCCAAACAGGTCACGGCAAACAGCTCTGTATGGTGCTACCACGAGCCCTCCTCGCCACAAAGGGCCCTTCTCTAGCAGCCGTTCCAGAGAGCCTGAATTCGGGGCAAGGGCCCAAGCATTGCAGCTGAGGAGCAAACTGAAACCACACTAAATCACTTCCCCTCTCTATGCCTCTATTTCTTCCCCACTTTGCTCCGTGGAGCCTGCAAGCTCTGTGTGGCAGGGGAGCCTTCCAGGAGACACACGTGGACTGCCAAGCACAACACGGCCTTGATCTGAAGGGGAGGGGTCTGCTACCATAACGCCAATATTAATAACAGTAACGAGGTCGCCTCCCTAATGAAGGAGATTCTCCAGCTCAGGGCTGCTGCAGGACTGGAGAAACCTGCGTGTCCGCCGCTTGCCTTGTGCATAAACAGAGGTCTCGATCTCTGCATCATCGGCTTTTCTCCAGCACGGAAATCCGTGTGTGTGTGTGCAGAAACACCCGTGTTTCGTGTGTTGCAAACAGGTGTGTGGGGGAGGGCGTGCTGCAGAGGAAAAAAAAATAGGGAACCACTGAGGAAGTGAGAGCTCTCTTTCAAAATGAGGCAGCAGCTACATTTTGAAGGTCTATTTAAAGCAACCAAGTGAAAAATGTCACCAGAATAAACCCGCTGCCCCAGCTGGAGGTGACAGTCTGATGGGGAAACTCCTGCCTCAAACCAGGAGAAGTGAGACGAAGTCGCGCAGGCATGCAGGCACCTCCTCCCCCCGGCACTCGCTGTCCCCCCCAGGGGCTGTACCTGTTTCCTGGCCTCTCTGTGACACTGTGCAGCACCCAAGCTCTTCATTCATTGATTTATTTATGGGAAATCAGAAGAGCATCTCTTTGCCTCCTGATTGGCGGGGCGAGCTCCTAGAGGGAACCACCGACGAAATACAGAAGCTGGGGGGGGGGAGGCTGGTGCTGCGTCAGAAACACAGAGCGGCTTTGCCCTGGATTAAACTACTGGTGAGGGGAAGCAGGGAGGATGCGAACGAGGAACAACGGGAGGACAGCAGGAGCTCCTCCAGCCCACCGACCCCAGGGCGATGTGCTGAGGCAGCCCCCCCCCGGGCAGGCTGTAAGCACCCACTGCCTTTCCATGCTGGATCACTAGGTAGAGGTGGGACGAGTCTCCATCGGGAGCCCTGGGCACAACCTACAGCATCCCGGTGTCCGAGCCACTCGTGACCTTTACCGTGTCCCTTCCCTCAACCTCAAGGTCAGGCAGCACTGTGCTGCTGTTCTTTGTCGGTGGGGATAGGAGACACAGATGGGCTGAAGACCGTATTTTTAAGTCCCTGATGTCACTGGCAAATTCCCACTCATGTCAGGACAAGGGATGCTAAAAGGCTCAGGGATTCTTATGCTGAGACATACTTTGATTAGCAGGGGTAATCATCAGCCTTCCCCCCACAAACCCCTACCCCATCACAGCAACTGTGAATTCGCCTGAGCCGGGCGCAGTGCAGAGGTTCCCAGGATCTGTCAGCTCCAGGCCAGTCCTGGGTAGATGCCGAGAGCTCAAATAACAACGGAAAACCTGGAAAGTCTCCCTGCCTCCGGTGGCGTCTGCAATTGCAATCTCTTCACCCTGCTGCGCTCCCTCCCCAGCACCTGACCGGGAGAGGGTGGGTGTGGGGAGGCCTTGGCATCCACGGCTTAGATTACAAAACCCAGAGCAAGCCAGATGTTGCAGCCCAAAACACATAGCATGTGTGAGTGTGTGTCAACAAGTGATCACGATGTCTGCAGCTGGCAGAAGGAGGCAGCTGGGGTGGCTTGCAATCCTGCAGATTTACTGCAAGCCCAACAGAGAGCGGCAGGACGGCTCCCCAGGGCCATTTGCAAGGGGAGGGGAGAGGCACGCTGCTTGCTGTTCGGCTGCTCACTAACTCTGATCCCAGCACCAGGCACCAGCTACACGGTGAGATCCTGAGCGCAGAAACTGCCTCCTGAATTTGCCTGGATGGAGCAGCCCTGGCTGCCAAGACTTACTGCTGAGATTCCCTGCTCCTGCCCTGCGGAGAAACCCTCTTCTGGCCCAGGCCTGCTGCAGTAATGCCATCTTTCCAACAGGCTGTTCAAAAGTGTTACTAGTTGGCAGCATTTTGGCTTTTTTGGACAGACCATGTGAAATAGCCAGAAACTACTACCTAGAGGGGATGTTTTCTGCCTCCTTCCCATTCCCCAAAAAGTCTGTAGGAGCTTCAAGTAGCCAGCGTGACAATGAATGTGAGCCTATATCCAGCACAAATTCACTCTCTACAATCCCCTCGAATCCATCCAAAAGCCCTAGCCCTGGAACATCACGGAGCGATTTTCAGCAGGTCAGCTGCTCTGCGTGCTCTCTGGAAGAGACGCTCCTGCGCCCCACCAGCAAGGTCTCCTGTCCCTCTTTGAGCGCGATGAAAATCGCATTGCCCAAAGACACTTTTCAGAGGCAGAAGGAGAGCTCAGAAGAGGTGTTGTGAAGAGTCGTTTGCATGCTGTGAATTCACACCCTAGTTTCACTTTCCGGTGTAGATGAGAGCTGAGGCCACCACTGTGTTTTCAGTATGTTTTTCCATCAAACCAGAGCGAGGCAGTGAGAGCTTGTCACTGTGCAGATGGGACACGCAGGCCTGGTAGAGTCCAAGCGTCAGATGTTAGTGGTATTGAGATTCCTAGAAGATGCAGGGAAGCACTCAGCAAGATGTTCAAAAATCTGGCAGAAGTTAGAGGTCTAGCTCAATTGATTTCAAGAGGAAGACTGAAACCACATCAAAGGATCTTCTTTGTAAGTAAATCGCTCAAGAGGGGAGCACGGGGTGGACGACATATAGGCTGAAAATTGGAACTGAAAAATAAATCTGGATTGCAGAATTAAAGAAAAATGTAAACCCAGAGGCCAGGCTGCCTGAGGGAACAAGGAAGTGGAACATACCACTCTTCCTCCAAAGCAACATAACATAGTTCCACTGCCATCAGCCTCACCTGGTGAAGTAGCTTGAAAAGTCCTACTTTAAGGGACTATAGCTCTGAAAATCTATTATTAAAGGGTTGCCGAGAGTTTCGGAGGACTCCGGTAGCAACATCAGACGCTGGGGCTCAGATGCCTGTTGCCCCAGGCTCCTTTTAGGCTAAGAAAACTGGGAGCAGACTGGACCGTGGCTTCGGGTACTAGTGACACCTCTCCATGGCCTGGTGGCTGGTGCCACACTGCAGTCTTGTCTGCAGTCCTGGTGCCCAAGGCGCAAGCGGTGCCAGGGCCCTTCTGCTGATTCGTCTGACTGATGCTCCTGCTCCTCATTGCCGGCTCCAGACCGCTGGTGATGCTCAGGGCCTCCAGTCCAAGCCCTGCTCCAGCACAGCCTGCGCAGCAGGACGGGAGCCCAGTATGCGGTGCCACTTTGGCTACCGTACGAGCAGCATGGTGAGCTGGCAGCGTGGGTCTGGCATGGACATCAAGGGCTGCACCAGCCTCCGGCAGCTCTGCACGGCTGCTCTGGGCCTGTGCCCTTCTCCCAGGAGCCTGGACACGACCATCTGCCCTCACTGCTGCACATCACTGAGATCTGCTCTCACCAAGACTGGGGGCTGTGTCACCTGCAGGGATTATCCCTGGGGAGTTTATGCTCTGGTTCATTGGGAAACTCGGAGAAGACCACGGAGGCGATAAATTATTTGCCCAAGATCATGCAAGTGGCAAGGAGAGGAAGAGACCTCGTCTCTCTTCAGACTCTAACCATGGCACAGAAGGGAGTAGCAATGCTCTTTTGCATAGTCACACTACAAACATCAGCTTTTGGTTTGCTGCATCTACCTTACCCGCTCTCCAGTAGACTCTACTGAGATGAGCTGTACTAATCTAAGACCCAGAAAAGACAAATATGGTTTTGGCTTTGGAGAGGAAACCTGTTTGGACACGCTACATTAATTTGTCTCAAGGTTTTACATTAGTCGAACCTGTGCAATGTTGCACTGGTGCAACTATCCAGACAACCACTCCCTGAGGGGTTTGTGCAAGGTTGTAGCAGGCTGCTGAGCAGCTCTTACATTTGACCTGGAGTGAGTACCTTTGGTAACAGAGTTTGAACAATACTTTGAGATCTATGCCCAAAATAGCAAGGGAAATACACTCTCTGTTATGAGGATTAGTAATAACTCCCTAGGGAAACACTAAAACCCTGTCACTCAAGTACAGCTACAGTAATTAGGATCTCCTGAATTTTAGCTTGCAAAGAGTTGAAAGCTGCCTGTAAAACTGAATTGCACCCTTCCCTCCTTATTTACAAAGGTCTGGCATGGCTTTGGAGGAGACAGTGGGTAATTGTCTAACAACTGCCCTAGCTGGCCAAGAGTCAGGTTTTGGATTTCAGTTCAGCTTGAAAATAATCTTCTTAGGCCATCAGTTCCTGACAGCTCTGTTAACTGCGTGAATCTGCTGTTCCCAAAAGCCAGAACTGAGCTGCCCTAACACAAGCACAGGTAAAACAGGAGTGATTGCAGCTCAGAGGCTGTTCCTCCACTCTGTCCCGCTGTAAAATTCTGCTTCTCCCAGCCTGAAAACCATGAGACCGGCTTTGCCATTTCAGCTGACCTACATCCACTCCCTGCTTCCAGGCTCGGCCTCACACACAACACAGAAAATCCTCTTCAGTCCTAACCCAAAGCAACCCTCTGCTGACTGGCAGGAGCTTTCGCTCTTCCACGCTGCCCCTGCAGTGTTTCTCACATATGCAGACACTGCTAGCCTGTGAATTTTCATTTTCACAAGGCAGCCTTGCCATGTAAAGGACACCCAAGCCTTTCCAAGTAGCATTTCTGTGCACAAAAGGACATTCCTGGGACATGTTGTTTATTTGTTCTAGCAGGAGCTTGGCCCTAGTCCTACTCCCACTTACACCAGAATGGCCCTGCTAAGAAGTTGGATTCATTTACATTCCCACTACAGAGAGGAGAGTACAACTCCAAAGGTTCAGGCACTGGAGTAACCTCTCTTGTTCCCTGACCCTGAACAACTGCAAACTTGGCCTTCACCTTGTTGCACACAAGCTTGAGGCAAGTTCCATTATGTCTATTCTGCATTACTGGAGTTTGGGGCTGGCACGAATTGCAGAAAGCTCAGGGCTATCCTAATTTACAGCCAGGTCCAAGAGTCCATGTCAGCAGCACCATTTCAGCAGTGAACAGCAGAAATACACTGACATCCTGATTGTGCCCCACAAGCCCTGGGCACTGAGAAGACAAACCCATACAAGCAACATCTTCCCAGCAGGGAACTGGACTGCCTCTACACCTCAGGAGCAAAATAGGCCACCACAATGCGGCTCTTTGCCTGAATTTCCCTGAAATGGAAGAACTAAATAGAAACCAACCTCCCATTGTCTCACACAGAAAAGCTACCTCTATTATGCGCTTTGAAGATCTTATGTGATTCTGAGATTGTCTGCTTTTTTTCCCCTCAGCTACAACAATTTGTCTAATAAAGGATAACACCTTGTCCCACAAGCCTTGCCTTGCTTATCCACCTGCCTGAGCTGTTTACAACGTGGCAGCAGAAAAGGCCAAGGCATGGATATTTATCTACTCCACGAGAGCTTCAAATCTGAACATCTGCTGCAAAACAGGCTGGCACTTACAGCTCAATCACTTGGGAGTTTAGCTCCATGATTGTGTCGTCAGTGCTGACAGAAATCAAGACAGCTGCTGTGTTAAATTCCCAAGGTGGGTATCGAGGTGGGGAGTCAGGCAGAGAGCGAGAATGTGATGAATCAGGGATCAAAATAAATGGACAAAAGCCCTTTCTCGACTCTTCTGCCCTGTCCTCCCCACTTCCTAGGAAAGCCAGGGTCGATGGTTTCCCCCTGCCCTCCCTCCCCACTCTGCATTCACACGCTCGCATCCCATGGGTTTGGTACCTTCTCTGCAGCGACGGGCACTGAGGATGGGGTAAGGCTGGTGGGAGATTCCGGACGTTTTTTGTGCTTCTGTTTAGGTCTTTCTTTGTCCTTCCGACTCTGCAAAAGAAATGAGAGAGTACTGGAAGGCTAACTTTTCCTCTGCTGAGAATAGCAGTTGTAAGGGAAAAGAAAGGAGGGTGTGTAGGGGTGGATTTACAACCATACATTCGTATTCCTCTTTCCTTCTCCACCCATCCACACGAGCCCAGTATCCCTTCCCCCACATCCCAGTTTCTGGCTGTGAGCGTCCCACTATCTCTTCCCCAGCTGCAGCCAACATCTGGAGTGTAGAATAGCAACAGAAGCCCCCAAATCAGTTTACGGTAAGATGATAGGGAAGGACTTAACAAGCTCTGGCTGATTTCAGGAAATCTGAGCTTTCTTCTTGCTATTTCCCCAAAGGGACTCTGTGCCCCCTTACCCTCGCTCTCTACCTTCTTCGAGAGTTTCTCAGATCCACCCTGTACAGACAATGGGAGAATCTTGATTTCAGCACGTGCTGCACGTGCACAGGTAAAGAGATCCGTCAGTGGGGATCTCAGAACCTAGGCTTGAACCTAACCTAGAGATCCCCCACATCTCCCCTCCCAAAAGAGACAGCTGGTCTGGGTCCATCTCTGCTAGCAGGAGACAGACTATTCAGTTTGATTTCTTCATCCTGTTTTTTCTCTCACTAAAACCCCAGAAACATGGGATTCTTCCAATTGCAAACCAAGGAAAAATCATGGCCTGAGAAACACTGAGTCCTATCTGCCCTACTTTTATATTTTCCTGGGGAATGGACTGTAACCAAGGAGGTTATTCTTATATAGCACTATGTAGATGCTTATCCTAAAACTGAGAGGTTTTCAGTGAAAGGACTGAAAACATAGGCCTGTGTGACATCAAGTCAGCGGGGCCTGAGGATGCCCAGGCCAGCTGGTATACAGGATGGACGGATAGAAGAGCATGCTCCATCAGACACTCCTGCTTCCTCCCTGTCCTCCTCAGCTGCACGCTCCCATGGGAGCACACTCAGCTGACTACAGGAGCTTTTCTGTGCTACCGATGCCAGCTAAAGATGTGGCCTTCCTCACTGAAACTGCAGAAACTTTTGTGCTGAGTTCCAGACTTCCCAGTGTGGTCACTGGTGTGTGGACTACGAGAGCTGCTGTCAGATAAACACCTGCATGAGAGGCAGGGCTTAGAAAAATCCATCCTCCTGTCTCCGAGACCTTTTTGTGGGAAAGAACGCCTATTCTGGTAGAACTCCCTTGCATGGGTGTTTTATTCTAGAGGCTGAAGTTCTCAGTCTGGACCGAAGGTGCGTTCAGAACGGAACAGTCACATCAGAATTCACTGACTCTCCAGAAAGATGCTGATTGCTTCCTCATGCAGGCAAAGCCCTGAGGCTACAGCTGCCAGCACATGCCAAAGCTGGGATGCTGTCAGGAGAACCTGCAATCGCAGCAAATATATGAGCTCCACCGTGTGTTTTTGGGGAGGAGAGAAGGGACTGGAATAATTAGCTTCGGAAACAACACACTAAATGGGAAAAAAAAGGGGCAGGAGGAGGGTCAGGGCAGGAGGAAAAGGCTGGAGAAGAGCAGGCATGCCATGAAGCAGAGGCAAAGCAGAAGTGCTCCAAAAATCAGCACTTTCCAGTGTGGGTTTGGCTGAATTTTCACTGCCCTTGAAAAGGAGGCCCATGCTGCAGCCACCAGTGCCCCTGCCCGTGTAAACCTGCCATGATGCCACGGAAGCTTTCACTGGGATGAGCTGGTGAAAAAAGGAGGCAAATCCAGCCCAGAGCTTCACTGCACTTGCTGAGTGCCCAACCAACGCTGCCAATATCCATCACTTTATCACAAGACTCCTGGTGTTTGGCATATCTGTTAAAAGCCTCTGTTCCTACAGCTACAGTATTTTACAAGAATCTCTGTTCTCTTTTTTTCCCTTTCTTTAATACACATTTCCAGCTTTGGCAGTGAACGAGGAAAGCTTGCGAATGTGATTTCTACAGACTAAGTGCCGAATGACAAATTAAAATTAAATCTTTACTAAATCTCATAATGTTTAAATACTTGGGGGCTTCTCGTGCTACAAACTCTGTCGAAGTCTCAGGGGTCTTCTAGGACAGGAAGACGGGGAAACTGTGGCCCAGTTAGTTAAGCAGCTTGTCAGAGACCATGTGCGCATCACTGTTCCATTATTCCAGTAGTAGTAACAATTTGTACTCACTTAATAGCACACAGCACAGACTTTCAACGAGCTGAAGAGAGGTTTTTAATATCTACATCTCATTTTACAAATGGGGAAGCCAGGCCACATGGGATGAGAGAACTTGCTGGTATTTCACAGAAAGTCATCCATAAATTCAGAAAGAAAAGTCAGGGATCCTCACCCCATGCTCACCTACTTGCAGATGCTGCCAGTGCCACTCACGGAAGCCAGAAATGGAAAACAGGAGCCAGACACTTCATTACAATACACTTTGCCAAATAACTGCACAAACCCTGGTCCTTAAACTTTCTGAATATCAGAAAGCTTATTCGCACATTTTCAGACCCTGAATCCCAAATGCATTTCAATCATGACGTTGCAACAGGAGGGAATAAGATACACTGCTGCAAATGCCAGCAAGATAGCACTGTAATGATTTAATTTCATGTATCATGGTCAAGATGAGACAAGGCACAGCCAAGACATTTTGGCCAATGACAATGAACCTACGCACCTATGTACATATGCATACACACATGCACACGCATGGGGAAAGCCAGAAATGTCCCGAATGTCACCACAGTGAACCATAAAACCTCCCACAATTTCACTGTGATGGCAACCACCAAATTCACATCCTCCAGCTTCAAAATCCTGGCTGCCTCCTGCCTGAAAAATCTCCCTTTGCTGTCGGCAGCGCAGAGTCTACAACAGCTAACTGAGCAGTCCTCTGGTTATACGTAGGAGTCTGTACATATGTATGTATTCAGCAAGAACCCAGCTTGCACAATAGAGACCAGATTTCTGGAATGCCTCAGCTCCCATTTAGACACTTGGATAAATCGTCAGGTTTTCCAAAAAGCTAAAGGCTGGGTATTGAGCTCTTTTGAAGATCTGGCCCCGACTACATGTGCTGAGCAACTGCACTCAAACCATTTAGAAAACCTGTCCCCCAGAGACCAGTCTTCGTGCTCTGCTCAAAGGATCGCATTGAAACCAGAACCACCGCAGCCTGACGAGGAGCTCAACTGCTCCTCTGCTCCATGTCCTTGCACGCAGTCCCAGGCCATGCCCGCAGGCACACCTTCCTCCTCCGTTGTGCTTACCCCGCGCTTCTCCCCCTCCCACACCACATCCTCTCCAGGCTCTCGGTGTCACTTCTTCTGCTCGGGCAGAGCAGAAACCCACAGGACGGGACACCCAGGAGCTCTCTGGGCTGCAGCCCTTAAACTTTGCACAGTCTGGGTGTCCGCTGCCTTTGCACACGCAGTAGCACCCGTCTCCCACCCTCCAGTTACTCTCCAATACTTCTGGGTACTCAGAAAGGCAACAGGATCTGACATCTTCAACATTACTGGAGAAATGCAGTGCCCTGTGTTAAACAGGCAGGACAATTAACTCCGTTACCCTACGGACACTTTGCGGACAGGCTGGGCTGACCCCAGACCAGGGCACGGGTGGGAACGTGACGCTGGCTGCCCGCAGAGACCGTGGCATGGAGATGGTCACGGTGCTCAGTCACTCCTGGCTATCTTGCCTGTGTTGACAGGCCTTCGGACAACCGGGGGGTTCCTCAGCTTGCACCAGAGGCTTTTAAACGTGTGGGTTCTGTCCAGGAACCGGAAAGCTCCAAATGCTTCCTGCAAGAGCCACAGGGTGCAAAGGGAGGGGAAGGCAACGGGAGAGGGGGAAAGCAGCACTCGGGCCCCTGCCTCAGAAATGTCCCCTCCCCACCTGGTTCTTCTGCATCCAGCACTTTGTCTCCCCGGCACACAGGCACTCTCCTCTGCAAACCCTCCTTCCAGGAAACTTCACAGACAATATAGCCACTGCCAACAGCCCAGCCTGCCCACAGAGACCTGCCTGGCTGTGCCATGAAGCAGGAATCAGGGGAGAAGGAGGAGGAGGAGGAGGAGGGAGGGAGGATGCACTGTGAATGCAGAAAACCTTTCAACACCCCCATCCCATCTTGGCAAGCAAAAGCCGAGCCCTACCTTGCAGCCGCTCGGTGCTCCCTGCAGCAGGCTGGCTGGCTGGGCGAGCTGCGGTCCGCAGGGAACGTGAACCTGCCCCCAGCAACGAAATTCATGGAAAACAAACTCTCCTCATGCAGGACTGAGCAGCTGGGGCTTGGCATGTGGGCACGGAGTAGGCCAGGCCTGCAGCGGGGGGAGCGCGGCTGCATGGGGGAGGCGTGCCGGCGACACACAATCTCCCTTCGAGCTCCCCAGCGCAGGAGGAACGCAACAGGAGCTCTCGCTGCCAAAAAGGGTGGTCCACAGCTCCTCCTGCTCCCCCCACCACCGTCTCCCCTTCCCCGAGCCCCCTCTTCTAATCTGCTGGACACCAGCAATGGGATCATTAAAAGTAGATTGGGCAGGGGAAGGAGGGAGGGAAGAGCCGGGAGCTGGGAAGAGCCAAGTGGGCTCTGCTGCTCCCTCCCTCTTTCCCAGGCTCTCTGAACTCCCTCACCCGGAGGAGGAGGCCTGGCTCTGGGCTGCAGCCATGGCAGGCG